TCCAAAACCTCACACAAAAAGAGTGCAAAAGCTCACACCACAAGACGCCAAGCAGCCTCCAGATCAACTGATGGTCAAGATAGGTATATGGATGGATTCTATGTACGCATGCCCGATGGCGTACAAGAAAGAAGTTTGGAACCTGTACCACACCATACCATTCACAAATCTTCTATGGTTATAGCGGAGACTTATCCAAAAGGTGGGTGGAGTACGCGACCTGAGGGACCTGAGGGACCTGATTGAGTCGAGCTGAGCACCGGTGTAACAAAGCTTGCAGTTGGCAAAGCAGTTACAAAAGGAAAATATCCAACGATAAAGGTGGTATTGATAAATACCGTTTGGTATTGGAAGATTTATGAATAGTTCTTGGATGTACCGTTGGTACGATACCGTTGGCCCGGTGAGCCGAGGGCCGCCTTAGCGCGTTACATTCCCCCCCTCTTGAATGCGAACCCGTCCTCGGGGCGCCTTGAGTGAGGTGGATAATTAGGGATAACTTGCGCTACGATTTTGCAGCGGAATCCGTGGATACGGAGCGACATATGCACCTGACCTTGGAGGCAGACGCTATTTGCGCCGTCTCCTAGCATGCAAGTAGCTACGTGGCTAGTGAGGGGCTATAAACCCAGTTTTTGCACAAGTGCGGCGGATACGAAAACGTGCGAAGCACCTGAGTCGACTAAGGCGACAGCTTTTGTGCTAGTAAAGTTGCACGGTAGTAGTAGCGCGGTGTTTTCAGTCAGAGGTTCTAGTGCAGAACACTTGGACTTTTCCTGGCAGGGGTCGAGCCATGCTTGAAACTCGCCGCTGCAGTTTGGGGACCTGGTGCGACCACCTCCGGGTTTAGGTTCGGAGAAGATACTGGAGTTTTTTGTAAACTCTTTGAGTAAGGTCCAACCGCGTGTTTGAAATTCCTTTCCTAGGTGGGCGCACTTGGGCACCAAAATAACCGCACTAGTTGTGTCCGGAGCGCGCTGTTTAAAAGTGCTGTAGCTATTCAGCCAAGGAATCACGCGATCGGCTGGTGCGTTGCACCAGATATGCTGTCCACTAAGATTATGCGAAGTGAACGAGTCTGGACAGGCAAAGTTAGGACAGAGGGAATTGTCGCTTCGTACGTTACAAGATGGTCGATCAATGGGCCAGGGGTATATAAGTAGTTACTAAAAATATTAATGATATTTCAATCCAGATCAAGAATTTAAAAAATTGAAATTAAGAATTGTTAAGTAAGACAATTATTAAATATGGTCATACTAGAACATTGGTTTATCGTTTTTCTCTAAATATTTTAGGAAAGAAGGTAAATCTTTAAAGATCATATAGTCGATTTGTTAATTTTCCAAATACTATATATCTTTTTGATAAATTTTAAAATATTTATTAGCATGGTCGGGTTATTAAAAAATGAAAAATCTATTATCTTACCTACGTTAGATAGATCAGCTAGATTGATAGATTGTAGTTAAGGCATCTAAAGACTCGTATTTATCTAACAAGTCAACTTTTTTTCTGCAAGTTCCTTGCAGTTTTCTTTTATCACCGTTTCAATTCTCCATATTAAAAAAAGGTAGTAATTTTTTCTGTTAGTTTTCCTAAAGTATTTTTAATTTTTTTCGTATTCAAATCTAGTAATAACTTTTTTCATATAAAATTTTTTTTTATTTATTCTTAATAATTTATTCTTAATAATTTTTTTAATAATATTTATTCTTAATAATTTTAGCTGCTCTTGCGATAAAACTATCTTAAGTAAAGCTTTATCATAAGAAAATCCCTTGATCGATTAACGTCCCTTGGTTTCCCTTGATCGACCATCGCGAACACCCGACCCGAGGCCTTCTGCAGACGCAAAAATACTGAACGAAGTACGCAGTGGCTGCAGTCCACCGTTGGTGGATTCCGGGTTGGTTCCTCTATGTCCATCGGCTCCCCACAGAGCTGCCTGAGGCTACTGCATGGGCAACTTCCTAGGCATCCGCTTTTTTGCGGTCCTCATTGTTGTAACGCGGCCGTTTGCCGCATAGGTGGCCCTTGCCAAAGGGCTCTCCGCAATGGTAGCAGATATTTTGGCCCTTGGCCATCTCCCGAACCCATGTCGGCATTTCCATGTGGCTGCCTCGGCCGCAGCCGCCATAGGCGCCACCGCGACCGCCACCGCGGCCTCCGTAGCGGCCACCTCCGTGGTTGTGGTCGGCGTGGTTGTTGGATCCACCCCGTTGGGTGTGGTTGCCGCGGCTGCCATTCTGTCGGGGGTGGGCGGGGGCATCATTAGTGCCTAAAAAGTTAAGTTGCGCCATTTGCGCCTTGCCCGCCTCATGGCGCGTTTGTGCACCTTGGGCATAGTTAACTAAAGCATCGAATGCAAACCAGTTATTGCCGTTGGCATCCGTGGCGCATTCCCGCCGCAGTTGCGGTGGCATACCGTGAATAAGCCAAGTGCACAAGTCAATTTGAGACATGTTAGGGTCGCCGCGCGTAATTTCACGGAACCATTGCACGTAATTCGGTATGGACTCGCCGGGTTTCATCGCATAGTTGCGTTCGTACGTTGTGAGGGGTGCAACGGCGCACATCACCAAAAAACAACACGAAGTCGTCATGCATGCTCTGAATTGTGAGCGTGGAGCCTTTGCGTGCGAATAAGTCATGGTACCACTCTGCAGCTTTGCCCATAACATAATATATGCCCATTATGGGATCGCTGCCCAATTGCGTCATGTAATCAACGGTAGTATCAAACCAGATTTCAGGTGTGTTACCGAGGTATTGGGCACTCCTGTGAATCAAGGAGGCTGCCTAAAGTTCTTAAGACTTTGGTGGTTAGCATTTTGCTGGTGTGGCTGCTGATTTAGCGCACTAATGGATTGTATATCCATGTAACCCACTATCCCACTTACGTGGCCAGCTTTGGCAGCTGCTGGCTTGCACGCGGCCGGCGGCGTGCAGTTGGCAGCCGGCGTGGCAGGGGCGATGATCGGCAGTGGCACTGGTTGTGGTGCCTGGTCGTTGGCCTGTGCCAGCTGCACTGGTGCAGTGATCGCCAGCGGTTCTGCAGCCGTTGGCTGCGCGTTGAGGCCGTTTTCCGCTGTTATGATGGGTGCGGTCAGAGGAGGAGGCGGGCGTGGTGCGGCGGCTTGGGCCTGGATGTGCGCCTCTATGCCTTCTATTCTCCTCGACATTTGTTCGAGTTTTTTCAGCACCAGTTTATTATAGTCGTCGTCGTGTGGGGCTGCACCTGTTGGGTGTACTGTGTGGTCCATAGCATCAGTTCGCGCAATAATACGTGCAACATTTTGTTGCGGGGACCTAAGCACCAATCGACATGGTGACATTGCGCCAATTGGGCGGTGTGGGTGGGAAAGTGGTGGCAACCCTCCCTCAGGCGGGACGAGGTTAGCCGCAGTGATGTCGTTACGCTCACGCTCTTTGCGCAACTCACCCTGCCATGTGCCGCGTTGCGGCTGGAGCGCGGCGGTGGGCCCAGTTACCCTGGCCGGCTCCGTGGCAGCAGCCGTTGGCTGCGCAGTACGTGGGCGCGATGGTCCGGGACCTGTTGGGTCGTGCGCTCCATTGGCGTTGTTGTCGGCGTCATGCGCCGCAGTGGCTAAAACGCTCCCGCAGTTCGCGGCTTTTCTGCACATAGGAGAGTTCCTCATTAGCTTCCATTAGGAAGCCTAGTGCGGAGCGACAGTCTTGCTCGTCGCAGAATTGTCTGACTTTGTCAAACATGCGCGACGGCGATGTTATGCCCTTACGCTGGGCACGCCTTACGTACTTCTCATACATTTCCTGGACCTTTTGTACTAGTTTCTTTGCCCTAGAGGGGCTCACCTGGCGCAGCTGATAGCGCTCATGGTCGGCCTCCGCCGACTGGGTGCGCATGGTATTCCCTGGGCTCGCCATGTAAGTCAGATAGAAAATGTTTCTTAAGTTGGAATGTGTTTGCGGAAGCGATGGAGTGCTTGACTCCGAGGTCGTTTGACCGGTTGGTCTCGATACCAAAGTTGTAACAAAGCTTGCAGTTGGCAAAGCAGTTACGAAAGGAAAATATCCAACGATAAAGGTGGTATTGATAAATACCGTTTGGTATTGGAAGATTTATGAATAGTTCTTGGATGTACCGTTGGTACGATACCGTTGGCCCGGTGAGCCGAGGGCCGCCTTAGCGGCGTTACAACCGGACTGAGACTTTAAAAGGACTGAGACTTTAAAAGGACTGAGACTTTAAAAGCAACGTATGTTACGTTACCATACCAAACTCCTTGTATTATTCCTATGCAACCAAACAGTAATTAACTGATCGTACGATTAATAATCCTGCCGAATCCACATCGTGTCAAATCGCACAACAAAGAGGCCCGCATTCGTTTTAAGCATCCACCGGACGTTTCAACCATCCTTAAGACCCTTCCCTTTTAACAGACACTGCCATAGACTTCTTGTAACTCGACGCCACACACGTCGCAACCAAATGTACACACACAGACACACACACGACACACGCACACACGAAAAGGAAAAAACGCAAACACCAGTATGCATGTGTGGAATCTATGCTTAGCCTGGGAACAGCCGGTGCCCGGCCTGCTCGACAGCAAAACATCGCGAGCCCCCTATCAATCAATGAAACAAAGCAACTCACCAAGCAATCAACTTGACTGAACAGGTCTTCCAAAAATGAAGAGCAGATTAGATCCGCATAGACGCGCGCCACGGCTCCTACAACTGCTAGCTAACGGAATTCCGTCCATCTCCAGCCACACATTTGTGCCTCCTATTTGTTGCCGTTGATTGCGCCGCAGCGAAATCCACTCTCCAACCCTACCTCACCCCCCCTCTATCCAAGCTTTCGACAGGGGTTCTCACGGCCCGGTCCAGAATCAATAAACCGCCGCGCAACGCATGCTGCCCAGCAGCAGCAGCAGCAGCAGCAACATGCTGTCGCGCCATTCTCTTCCATCCCTCCCGCCCACCCATCCTTTCTCCCACCATCATCACATCATCACAGGCTTTCCGGACAGCACAAAGCACAGGAGGCAACAGCCTGAGGAAAGAGCACCAGCAGCAGCAGCAGGCAGCGGGGCAGGACCAGTAGCGGTCCACGTCATCGTTATCAGCAGCCGCCGAACTGCAGACGGGACACCTTAAGAGTCCCGGGCCCACTGGCGGTCGGCGGTTCAAGCCCAAGCGTCGGCGCTGTGGCAGCTGCGGGTGAGGCACTTCTCAGCGGCGCTCCTGGGAGAAATATTTCAGCAAGGATTTTACCCAAAGCCAAGGAGGCGCCGTTCCTACTCCACCTCTGCAGCAATCGCCTCCACCACACCTGCCACATCATCATCCGTCTCCTCAGACGGGTACACCTCATCACTTGCCACATTCTCGACCTCCTCGTTATCAGAAGGGTAGTAGGCCTCAGCAATTTCACTGCCCACACTGCCCTCATCATCACTCTCATCAGGCAAAACACAGTCGCCCACCTTGGCAATACGGTGCAGGAGCCCATCCGGGTTCTTTGCAACATACTCCTCAGCAGCTTTAAATCACAAGGGGTTGGCATTTCACCGGCATTTAGCGTCGGTTATCCACGGCGGTTATCCACGGCGGTTACCGGTATCCCGGTCGGTTATCCACGGTTGGACCGAGTAATCCAACACGCAGAAGGGAATCAATGGACGGGACAGCCAGCCGGTTATGCAGCCTGTTCTTGATAATGCGGTGGACACTAAAGCCACGCTCAACAGTGTTGAGCGTTGGGCAGGGTTCTTCACCCCGATTCGGGCCCGAACTTTTTTGAGATATTTCCATTTTGCCCGAAAGGAAAATGAGTGCGCCCCGGAGCATTCCGAACGGATTTTGGGCCTTTTGGAGCATTTTTTCGGGGGCCCTACCGAAGAATTTTGAAGGCATTTTCGGAGAAAACCGAACGATATTTCCGCGTAAATTTGCATGTTTTCGGGTGCAGACGGGGCCTGGAAACCGGGCTTGCCGTATAAGGCCCGCTTGGTCACCAGTCAAAGAACAAGTACAAATGTGCATTGCGGCATACGTTACCTCAACACGGACACGTTCATGTCCGTCGCTCAGTACCTTTGTGCTGTGCGTATCATTGACAAGGGAGCAGAGAACATTCATTTGGTCACTGAAGCTGTGCTTGCTGCCCTTCGTCTCGATCAGACGAAAATGGTGGGGTATGGCAGTGACGGGGCAAGCGTGTACCTGGGCCGTAACTCTGGGGTTGCTGTGCGCCTGTGCGTCAAAAGCATATAACGATAGAATCTATTTAGAGCTAATCTCTACCCCGAAAACCGCTTCAGACAGTTTCGGGGTACCCCAAAACACTCTCCGGCTGACAGGAAAATTTTCGGGGAGGGCCCCGAAAGGTTGGTTATTCAGAGGGTTTCGGACACGACCGAAATTTTTGGGTACCCTGGTGAAGAACCCTGCTCAACACACGCTGTTTAAGTGGGAAGGACACAAGCGACATACACCAACTGAATCAAGCGTGGAAAGAAGTGGACCCACTGATGCATTCCAGCCCAGGCCCGCTCCCAGGAGGTGCGTCCCAGCTCCAACTGCACGGCCATCTTAGACTTCATAACTGAAAACTCTTTCTGCAAAACGTCAAGTTCGCTGACATCCAAGGCAAACAGGCGGTTCGAGCTTACTTGCCGAAGCCGCGAATCCCGAGGGAGATGCGGGGCACCTTGGTTGGGCGCTCATCATCAGTTGACTCGGGCATGTTTAACTATGCATATGCTTTGTCTGTGTGTGTTTGTGTACGTGTGTCTCACTGTGTGCCTGTCTGTGTGTCTGTGTGTGAGAAGGACAATTTATGTTGGTGAGAGTGAAGGGTGAAAAGTACCCAAAGTTCTCTGTCTATTTCCGTAAGGCCCTCCCCCCTTTCCCTTCCCTTCCTAAAGCGCCATCCAGACACCCCGTAAGAGAAAACCCCTCCACTGCAACTTATCCACTGCAACTGGGTTCCCCCCGCAACCTCTATTCCCCAGCCAATTTCTCCACCTGCTGCATGATCTCATCTCCAATGGTGCCCTGTCCGGCAATCGTGTACGGATCGTCGTACGGCGGAATGAAGGTGAGTCCCTCAGCCGCCGCCCGCGCCACCGCCGCCGCCTGCGCCTCCTGATAACTCTCCCCCACCAGCACCACCTGACCGCCCAGCTTGCGGACATTGGCCACCTTGATCTCCGGTGTGTTGACCGGCATGCAGATGATGGAGGTGCAGCCCTGAGGGACGTGGGGGAAATGTGGTTGGGGAGGTGTTGGGTGTGTGTGTATGGTGACGTTGGGGGGGGGCGGAGGGGAAAACACAGGTATACCAGGGAGGGGAGAGGAAGCCATTCCTTTAAAAATTATCCACGCGTACATACATACATACACACGCAAATCCCAGCGCCAGACCTCCCCCTCCTAAACCCACTAAGTCGCCATACGCGCCGTACAACATTTACCATTTTCGACGCCGCCAGTGCCACCCCTTGTGCGTGGTTTCCCGCCGAGCTGGTGATGACCCCCCGGGCCCTGGCCTCCGGAGGCAACTTGGCCATCTTGTTGTAGGCGCCTGTATGTACGTATGTTTGTACGTGCGTTTGAATGTTTGTACGTGGTGTATGTATGTATGTGTGTGTGCGCGTTGGGGGGAGAAAGGCATATACCAGGAAACAACGAATGGACTGCGGCGTCGCGTCCTGTTTGTGGGGGGGGAAGACGAACCACGAGCAACCTATCCCTCCATCAAACAACGAGCAAACCATCTCTCCATCAAACAACGAGCAAACCATTTCAAACCCCACCCCTCCCCAAACTCTTTTCTAACGAAAATTTTCCGTCCGCCCCGCCCCGCTCCAACCCCCCTGCCCCAATCCACCTACCCCTCAATTTAAACGAGAACACGGGCTGCAGGTCCTCCCTCTTGAGTAGAACGGTGTTGCCAACCGCCTCACTCAGCTTTTGCGCCTTCTCCAGGGGGGACTGGATCTGAGTTGAAGGTGCGTGGGTGGGTTGGAGAGCATATGACAAAAAACAAGAAATGAACTCTGTTTTTTGTGTATGTGGGGGGAAGAAGACGAGGAAAGGAAGGAGGGGAAAACTTATATGATAGGAAAAAAACCATTTCCCTGTCCGCCCCTCTCGTATTTCCATACCAATGTATCAAATTCGTACCGCGACATCGTACACTCGTGCCGTCAGGATCTCCCGAAGGTAGCCGTCCGGCCCGAAGCGCCACTTGTTGGCGGCACAGCCTTCCGGGCCCTGTGTGTACGGCACGCGCGTGTGCAGGGTAAGTGAAATACTCAAAAGCGTTTGTTTTTAATTCACCGTTGGTATTTTCATCACGGCTGCCATCGCAAGGTTACTGACGCATATTGCGATGATGTCATCAAGTGATGCTGTGATGTGATATTAACGATGTACGGAAGTTGGTTATTACGGTTGACAGACTGAAAGGCCGGATTCGTACGAAGCGGCAAGTTCTTTCAGCCACTATCATATCCTCGGAATTGTCTTTCGCTGCTGCAATGTTGTCCGTGGATTATCGGCTGGAGAGGTTTACGACATAGTTCCCATGTGGGTCACATCCGTCGCAAGGTTGGTTGCTGATGCGACCACCCAGGCAAAACAGTTGACATTCCTTGCCGTCAGGGCAAACGACCCGACGGGGGCAGAGCGCCTGCGCGTCTGTATATTCGTACGTACGTATGTATGTGTTTTTATTGTATGTATGTGTGTGTTACATGGTTTGGGGGTGCGTGACCCCATACCTGTAAAACTAACCATACGAGCCGAAGGCCCAAGGGCATGTAGGTATGTGCGTTTAAGGCTCACACCTAAGGCAAGGCACGAGAGGCTGGTTCGGAAGCAAACACCAGGGGGGGCAGCAACCCAGTAAACACCCCATCCCCTTGCATGCATGTGAGACATTGAGCGAGTGGCCCTAACCGACTTAACGATCCTAGATGCTAGGGGTCTACTGGCTTCCATGGGTAGCTACGGTATCGGTGGGCGCAGCGGGAGTGAGGTGGTGCGTTTCAGCAGAGCCGCTCTGTCGTGCTGTGAGGCAAAAACGAATGTCCGAATCCAAGGTCTGGCGCGGGAAGCTGTGCGGAAAGGCAACGGTAAAACGTTTTTTCGGAGCCCAGCAGCTATAATTCGACGTTGGTGAAAGAGAGGATGCCGTGAAGGATGCTGTACGTTATTGGGATAGTAGCAGGGCCGGCTACAGCAGCGCGCCTTTGCCGGACAGTGTTGGATCACTAGTTGTGCTCGGGGCAGCGTAGCATCTAGCATCCCTGCGCTGCGGCGTTTATGTTATAAGAAAAGGCGTTGGAACGTGCGAAAGGTCTTGGGGGTTCGCTTGGCGTTGGGGGAAAAGGAGGCAGTTGCATGGAGTTTGGTCTGGCACCGACATCTCGACATGGGCGTGGATTTGTACCTGGCAAGCGGGCTGTGTGCAGCCGAAGCAGCGGAACACGTCGTCAGGCAGGTTGAAGCCCACCCGGTTGACTGGGCTAAGCTCGCCTGCTAGCAAACCTTCCATTTTCGCAATTTGTCCGACTTGTCAAGGAGGTCATCAAGGGAATTAATTAACACAAGTCCGATACCCCATACTCTAGCTGACTACGGACTATGCATCACTACCACAAATGCATAAAATCTCATAATGAGAGCAGGAAAGACTTGACGAACTGGTACTCACTGAAAAACAAACGAACTACTACTGTCAAACAACCAGTTAACAACCGCCACACGCGCCACCCGACCTTTCCTCCCCAACCTGCCTCCCAGGTGGCGCGACACACCGCACGGCACAAGAATCCGCCTCCATTCCCACCTGCCCCTTACAGCTTTCATTGTCTTACAGCCAGAGGGGGCCGCACTGTGTATTGCACTCCCCACCCGAACCCCCGTGCTCAAGAGCTCCCCGCCCGCTTCCACTTCCACCACTACCCCCACTTTCACCGTCGCATTACCGCTACTATTGTATCATCCCAGTGCCTCACTGCTTCATGAGTACCGCCTCTGCAGCCCTGCGCCCCGACCTGAGGGCGCCCTCCAGCGTGGCGCTGTCTCGGTGGTCACCGCACACGAACACACCACCACCCAGGGACACGGGTCGGCTGAAGTTGGTGGGCGGGGCCTGAGGGGGAGAGGGCGGGGGAGAAAACACAGTGTGAGGTGGCAAAGAGGTGGCGGAGACAAGCGAATGCCGAGCAGCAGCACCCGCAGCAGGGTGACGGAGTGTCCTGCGTGTCGTACCTGGATGGATCCAGCTTAAACAGCTTACATATGGTGTCCCGGATGCGGCTCTCCTGGGTTTGTGTGCTCGTTTCCGCTGCTGTTGCTGCTGATGGGTTGTTGAGGGGATTGTGGCGGAGCTGAAGGGAAAAGGGAATTTGGTGACAGTCCGCGCGGGAGTCGATGGGTCCTTCAGAACATGAAAAAGGATGCCGTAGGGGTCTTGGAGGAAGAAAGACAAGCAACATTGGGAACGCAGCTAGCTGCACGGCACTAGAGAAATCAGTTTGAACAGCGAGCTGGTTTTGGAAAGCGGAAATAGGTCGGGCAGTCTGGTCCACGTTGGAAAACCTCCTGGATAGTTAGCTTTGAAGCCATTGTTAGTTCGTTACGTCGGTTACCCCTAACGGCCAGGTACCGAAGCGACCAGTTACCGACTACCGGTTGGGTAGGGTTATTACCGGCTGCTGGTGACAAGCAAGGATAATCCGAACGATCTCCATAACGACACTTGGCGACAAATGCAGAGGAGCAACTGCCTCCCAGCAGCCATCGACCAGCAGCTTGTCGCCCAGCTTGCAGCGGCATACGTAACAGCAGATTCTATAAAAATAAAACCCTAATAAATAACAGCCGGTTCTATAAAGCCAACCTTTATATTTCTAGTTGCTTTTTCAGGATGCGAATTTCCGCGCGAACATGGTGAACAAGCTTCTCTAGAGTATTGTGGTGTAATCGCTGGTACACAGTACGCCACACATACATCGTCTACAAATACACGCTAAGCGCTCCAGCCGCATCTTGAGAGGCCTTTTCAGCTGGGCCAGCTACTACATTTCCATATGGCCGCTTCACTGAACCAGCAGGTGTAGACAAGGCAAGGCACTTCTTGTGCATGGTTCCGGGCACTTTCCGTTACATTCCGTTACGGTCAACCGAGTTTTGCCCCGGCCGGTAACCGACTGGTAGGACGGGTAGCCACCAGGGTTCTTCACCCAAAAATTTCGGCCGTGTCCGAAACCCTCTGAATAACCAACCTTTCGGGGCCCTCCCCGAAATTTTCCTGTCAGCCGGAGAGTGTTTTCGGAAACTGTCTGAAGCGGTTTTCGGGGTAAATTATAGCTGGATTCTATCGTTATATGCTAGGACGGCTGAATTAACAGGTGTTTGACTTTATTTTATGTGGCATATGGATATGCTTAGATGTATGAAAATGTCTGCGATACAGCCGCGAAACAGCCGCAATGCACATTTGTGCTTGTTGTTTGACTGGTGACCAAGCGGGCCTTATACGGCAAGCCCAGTTTCCAGGCCCCGTCTGCGCCCGAAAACATGATAGGCTACTAGCCTATCTGTAGGATGAACTATCGGCAGGGTAGGGTAAAGGCCGGTAGGTAACTCCTCGGTAAACCTACCAAGGCCCCATCCCCACCGATCGGTTGGGCCGGATCGGCTACCGATCGGTTACGGCCGAATGTATGCCCTAGGGCCCTCCCTCCCTCCCTCCCTCCATACATACATACATACATCCCTTCCTCCCTCCCTCCAAGTTGGATCTTGTTTAGTGCGTACTAGCAATTCCTTCAAATGACTATACACACCTTACACACCTCAAATCGGACTCTGCCAATCTGCAAGGGCAGTACATCGTAGGCAGGGGCGGGAAGTCCTCCGTGCGGTCCATGGTTCGATGGCAATGCCCCGGTTGCACAGCGTGGTGTCGCAAGTAAAGGTGCTGCGTTGGCTTCATCTCTAGGCCCACCATCTGGGGTGTCGGACACTGGACCGCAATGAAGCATGGGCTGGCGACATATTGGGCATGCCGGCCTTCGAACGCTCTGTTGTCGCCAGACAATTTCCGCTAGACACTGCGAGGCGCCAACGGCACAGCAGTTGGTACCGCTGCATGAATAAGGGTGTTGATGTGAAACTTGACGGGAATGTATGCCTGGGGCCGTATCTTGCACATCGCTTCGGCAAAGAAGACCGTTCATCCGAAACCAACAGCCATCTCAAAACGAAGCCATACGCACCTCTTCACAGTATTGGTGACCACAATGCAGGACCGCGTATCGCCACTTTGATGAGAGGCGCTCACGATAACATACCGGGCACCTCCAGCTGGCCATCGAACCTCTCACCCGAAACTGTGTTAGGGCCTACACATAACATTGCAGAATAGAAAGACCATCTCGAATAGGACAAATACCAGATGGGTAGGAGTTTCGGGCTTTAAACCAGAACCTTATTGCTTGTGAGTTATTCATTCCTTAAAAAGGCAATCCATTTCCTAAATAAATTTCCTTCTTCAGGAGAATGCAAACGCTCTTCATGTCCTTGGCAGACGCATTACCGTGGATTTAACCTTCGCGTTCGGTTGTTGGACGGTCGTTATTCCGTTCCATCACTCTGTGCCACAATGGTCTTTTGACACGCTCCACGCTCCAGGAGAACCGATTCCAAAATCCACCTTATTAAAATCCACAAGGTCAGACCCCAACTACGACGTGTCCCAAACTGCGACATGGTTTACCGGCGCACAACCTCAATCGACAAGGCCGCGGAACGGCAGGACAGCAGCCAGGGCCCCGCCAGCCACATAATCGTGCCCATCGTTTCTGGGGTGGGCGCGATTATGTAGCTGGCGATTCCCTCCTCTTAGGGGATTTCCTCTTAGCTTCCTCCCCCTGCACCCAAACACAAATATGAACATATACATTCCCAAGCATCGCATGGCATCATTTACTCGCGCTGCGCTTTGCCATAGGAAAATACGTTCCCTCCTGTTTTACACCATTCCGCGCCCCACACCTGCCACACACACACACACACACACACACACACACACATAAAAAAAACAAGTCGGGTGTCGGCTTCCTCATCCGTACAGGCCGGTAGCTAGGGTAGTGCCAACATGGTGGGAGCTGTGCTTGTTGCAGCAGTGCTGATGCTGTGGGAGCTATGCTTGTCAGAGCGCGGGAGGCAGGAAGCCGGGGCTCATAACCTGCTGAAGAGACGGTGTCTCTCTGGAACCTGGCAGACACGGCTAAAAATCATTGGCCGTTACACGTATTCGGGAGGTCCGCGACCTGCCACCGACAGCCCCTTGCTTGGGCGTAAACGTATGAGTCAGAGGTGCCGTTGCCGGCACACAGCAGGGGCTCGGCCGCCAAGTCCGCAGTCCAGGCCGGATGCTCAACGCTCAGCAGACACAATCGCAGCTTGCCAGCCTTCAGCCTGCTGGCTTTGCGGTCTGGTGCCGCAGCCCGAACACACACGGAAAACAGCGCCGTAGCGCCGTAGAGCACCGTACACACTGCCTATGGCGCCCCTTCAGGCATTGACCTGCCCATTCGGGCGCTCACGCGCCCTTGGCGCCCCCCTCAAAGCCTAGCTCGACACACTTCCCAAAAGCCCGCAGCACTTTCCGATGCTGTCCGTGAAGTTTATCCCCGAAGCGCCAGCGGCCTCAGCAATCCGCTCCACAGCCGCCGCGGCACACTGCCATTGGCCGAAGTAATTGTACAAACGAACAGCTTGCATACTTCAGTCGGAATGCCCGTGGGTGTTCGAGTTATCATACGCCGGTAATCTAAGAATTCAATTATGAGATACGCGGCACCTTTTGAGATTAAATTTAGCTCGAGAGGCGTTGATGTGACTTTGGCTCATACGATTTTTGTTGGCTACAGGCGAGATACCTTGCAACAGAGAATGCTATATATTACCAATAACGCGCTTCAGCCGGGCGAGATATTATGTTTGGTCCGTTACACACGGCCACACGGACATGGGCAATCCTACAGAGCGGGGCCCCCCTGGGCGCTTCACGCTGGGGCCCCGCCCAAAAAACATCCAAGCCCCCTTCCTTTCCCACAGTGCATCTCCATCCATTCCACATTACTCAACCATCTCCCAACGCTCTTTCATCATCGTTATCTCATTAGGCGGATTTAGCTACAATCTTATAGCATCCGGGGGCGCCCGCCACACACACCGACCGGGCTCCAGCTGCCCCGCCGCCTCGCCGATAGCAGCAGCCGTTGGCGCGGCGGCGGCCGCAGCGGCAATGGCGTCACGCGTCGCCAGGTTTGCCGGGTCGCCTTGCGCCACCACACGCCCCTCAGGCAGGGAGACCGCACGAGGCTGCGCACGCCGCTCGAAGGCCTTGTGGGCGCCCGCGTAGAAGATGGCGGCGTTGACCAGTAAGATTCCCCCGTTGACCGACCGGGGATGGGCCACGCGGTATTCCCCCACAGCTTCGTGGATGTGACCGCAAATCCACAGCTGTGGCGGTCGTTTTAAAGCCTATGTTAATTTGAAGGGGTGGAGTCTGAGCCGTGAGAGAGAGCGCAATAGATAACTGCGACACTTCCTACTTACTGGCGCCCTCCACAAACATTTTTATAATAGTTTTCATGTATCCTACAAATTCGTATAACCTCATTACGGTGATGATCTCGGAAGATCCTTTAAGTTAATGGGGTGTTACACTGTGGGCGGGGGCCCTGACCGGGCCGAAACACAGCGCAGGGGTGGGCGCGCAGCTCTACGTCCGCCTTTGAAGTATTGTCGTCTTAATTTTTGTAGTGATAGATTTTTGTATAGAAATAATACGGATTCCAGGAAGCCTCTTTACAAGACCGATTATGTTTTGCAGCAAAAGGCCCCGATCTTGCTGCACCCGCGCCTACCTGTACGGCAGCGAGCAACTGCTTGTCGCCCACGTGACGTCCTCGTGTGAGATCACCGTACCCGTACGGCGGTGTGTGAGTTACGAGCACGTCCAGCTCCAGGTCAGGGGGCAGCAGTCTGGACCAGTGCCGTTGCCCCTCAGCCTCATCTTCCAGCTGTGACAACACGAAGAAACAAACAAACAAACATAATACATACATACATACATACATACATACATACATACATACATACATACATACATACATACATACATACATACATACATACATACATGGTGAACGGATACCCTGTGTGTGACCTAACTAAGATACGCACATATCGATATATCCAGCAAACGAAAAGAAACAACAGGACAAAAACACACAGGGCCCTCAAGGCAAATAGGAATCTAAGGACGTGATAAGCTGCATGACGAAGATACTTCCCAGGACGGTATCCTCCGCCACCTCCAACCTCTCCTCCCCTCCCGTATCCCCCCATTCCGGGCCCCACTCTCACACCTGCCACACACCCGCATACTCAGGAGACCAGGGCGACGCCAGCAGCCGCAACCCCGCCACCTCCACAACCCGGTCCACCACCACCACTGCACCCGCGACCTTGAGCCCCTCGCCCAACTCTGCGGGCATCACCAGTAACAGCAACAACAACAGCAAGAGGAGGAGGAGGAAGAAGAATTCCACAGCAAATGACGGTAATAGGAAAGTGGCGGTAATGGCGGCAGGAAACATCAACATGGGAAAGTGGCGACATGGAATGGGGTCAGCAAGTCGGCAAGTCGTGCAGCGGCCGTGACCCGCACCACGGCCGTCACCCCCACCACGTCACGCAGCCCACCGTACGCCAATCTGTCCATGTTACTGCGGGGTACGGTAACGGCATGTAGAGGGGGAAAGCACAAACGGGACGAGATGGGACGAGATGGGCAACGAGCCAACACCGCTGTGGTGCTGCCCATCTGAAGGGTCGTACGTCTAAGCAAGGGGAGGGGGCAGAAGCTCTGTGTGCAGCAGCAAATTCAAGAATTTATATACCTATATTTTGTTTTTTGGCTCCAAAGTTGCGAAATGCTGTTGGAGTCTAAGCGATGACACAGGAGTCGGTGGAGGTATTGGACCTCGCAGGGGGGGTGGGGCTTACCGGTTGCGGCCGGTAGAGGCCACAGCCGGATGAACCAACCCCGCCTCTCTCAGACACGTCTTTCTTTAGTTTTTTTCATCCTTGGTTGGACCCACCATCCCTCAACCCTCGGCCCGTACCCGACCATTTATTTCGACATGGCTCACCCAAATCCGACCACCTTGTCTCGGTGGGGCAGCGAGGCAAGCCAGCGCTCCAGTAACTCCACATCCCGGGGGTTGCGGAGCTCGATGTCGCCAGCGATAACCAGCAAGTCTCCTGAGCGGGGTAGTGGCCCCCGGCAACACCGGAGATACAGTTGACTGCCATACGCGAGTAATGTAACTTGAATCTGTAATCTTAATAAAAAACAGTGCAGTCTGAGCATGCATCTGAGCCGTTCTCTCTCTTTCTCCCGCTCTCTCGTTACCGATCTCCTACTTCGAAAGGCGTGGTAGAAGACGTTTTTGAAGGTGCAAGTGCCGAAGGTATACGTCGGAGTATCAAAGCCGCAAAGGTATCCCTGCTAGTGAGGTAACTAGAGACACGGGATGCGACTCTGTGTGCTATATATTGGAGCTGGGGTTGGGGGGGGCGTGGCGTGGGTCGACCGATGCTCGTTTGCGCTTGGTCGAGAGGTCTGCGTTGCACGGAAAGAACGCCCTGATCCTGCTGCTGCTGCTATTGCTGCTGCTGCTGCTGCACGGCGCGGTATTCGTATAGGTCATTCTATAGGTGGATTACTGTAAAGCGTGTGAAGGGGTAGCTAAGGCTGTGCGTAAGGCTGCGGTTATCGCGGGACGTGTCCCATGTTGTACAACGGCCAACGCTTGCGACGAGGAGCCCACCAGCAGCAGTAAGTGTTATCATTGCATCACATAGCGTCCAGTAGTATGATTGAAATGCCCATCTGGTTTGTGCACAGCTTTCTGTCAGCGCACCGTCCGGAATGTCGAGGATATCATTGCGCAGATGTAGTCCGTGCATGTCGCTCAGGGAGACTACGACGGTGCTGCTGGAAGTTCTTGGTGATCCTGTCTCCGCCATGCGACAGTTCGCGAGCTACTGGTGATGGCACAGTGCACAGGACCACACGACAACGATATAATGGCGGAGAAAGGAAAGCCTCCAAATCCTTTTTATGTAAAAATCGACAATAAGTGCCTTATCGTAGCAGAAACGTGCAAAATTAGCTCGAACTGATTCGTAAGGGCACTGTTAAGGAACCAGAAGGCAGTGGAAGAGTAAGAAAAAAGAACAAGGAGTTGGCCACAGAGAATTAGAGCAATTTGACGTGGGTCGTGGTTAGTTGGTCCCTTAGGAGCAATTCAAGGGTTCAAGCTTGTCGGTTGACCGGTAGGTGGCGCAGTTGGCCGTTACAAAATATATCCGTGTTACGTATCAGACATCGGCAAAAGGGGTATTTCTGGTTTCGGGAACGGGTCTATTTCTGTCTTCAGCACAATTTCTGTTACAAGGACGCGGAATGAAAATGCGATTCCTGCTATAGTTTGGCATTCGTAAACGGCGTACGATCCTATTTCTGCAAGCCGACCGGCTTCGGGAACTCTATTTCTGTTTTCGGGAGTTTCGGCACGATCCGAAGGTCCCGAAGCGTTTGCCGATGTCTGTTACGCATGACCGTACTTGGACAGGATCTGTTTATAGGTCATACACCTGTCTATGTTCTGTAAATCAGACAAGCTCCTCAACGTGTGCGTGCGTGTGTGTGTGCGTGTGTGTGTGCGTGTGTGTGTGCGTGTGTGTGTGCGTGTGTGTGTGCGTGTGTGTGTGCGTGTGTGTGTGCGTGTGTGTGTGCGTGTGTGTGCGTGTGTGTGTGTCTGTGTGTGTGTGTGTGTGTGTGTGTGT